GGCATCTGAACATGGTCAATCCCAAAGCGACGAGCTCACCCATCCATTAAACCATACCAATACAAGGAAATGTTTTAACTTAAAAACACATTCCACTTGAGCTAGGCGTGAGGGCGTCCTCAATGAGCTACTCTATGGTGTCCATGTATTGGTAAAGAATACAAAATCTCTTACAAACAGCATATTTTAACTCGGTAAAATTGTACTCCAACATTGACCTCAATAATTGGAGTAGTTGATCGGAAAAAGTGAAATATTATTATTTGCAACAAAAATCTAAATTGTTAACAAATCACCTAATGAAATACACATTTCCATCTATTAATCAAATATAAAGGATACAAAAATCACACTCATTATTTAATATCTTTTTTAGGGGAACTCATTATTTAATATCACTCATTAAGCTTTCAATTTGCGCGTACATGCATGATTGCATGCCATTTGAGCGTGATAGGTATGAAGGCTCCTTATTTTTTTTCTAAACACCAGCTCGACTCAGACAACACACACATTCACATGAGGACACGGCAACAGAATAGCTCGGCCGTGGCCATAATTTAAGTGGATGAGTCTACGTAGCGGCCGGCTGCTCGCTGGTATTCGCGAGCGGCCGGCCTAAAATAGAAATTTTTTGTCCCTAATCTGTAAAAGGTAATAAATTGTCCCTTCTAATTAATATAACAAAACTATTTTAGTCAGTATATTCAAAAAGTACATGCAACAGAAAAGTATACGAAAACACCCGTGTAAACCCGTGTAAAATTTTTAAAAAGTCATAACTTTTAAATCTCGCGTCGAAATTCAGATCCGTCTTCTCCGTTGGATTCTTTGCGACGAGATCTTCGCAACTAGATCCTGCATGGGTATGTTCTGACAAAAAAAAATTGTATAATTTTGTCCCCTTTTCGTGCAACTGATTAGCCGTCGATGTGCAACTACCTGATAGAGATGTGCAACTTTTCTCGTACACCATAAACGTGTCGTTTTCCACTATGGTACCTTCACCCACAAACTATCTCCTTCCAGTGAGATGTGCAACTTCGTTTGTTGCCCAGGCCATGCCATTTTCACTAGTGGCACCACCCCATACTACTCTCTAACATTGAAAAGTGTAATTTCTTCTGCTGCCCCGGTGCCCTGGCCAACTGCCTGGTAGTCGCCGCGCTTGTGCATCCCCCACAACCACATTTGAGGGACTATCCTATAAGAATGTCCCAACTCCACGACCACGCATGTGCGACTATGTATACAAGAGTGTGCAACTCCGTGGACGTGGGCACCTCCCACAACAATTCATGTGCAACTATGAAAATGAGATTGTGCAATTGTGTGGCCATGCATGTGCGACTATGCAGACGAGAGTGTGCAACTCCATGGCCGGGCATGAGCACCACCCGCAAAAACTCATGTGCGATTATGCGGAGGAGGTTGAGCAACTCCATCGCCATGTATGTGCGACTGTGCCGACGAGAGTGTGCAACTCCGCGGACATGCGTGAGCACTCCCACGATAATTCATATGTGACTATGCGGACGAGATTGTGCAACTATGCATCCATACATGTGCGACTGCGCCGACGAGACTGTGCAACTCCACGACCATGCATGAGCACCTCCCACGATAATTTATGTGCGACTATGCGAATGA